GTCAAAGAGGCACTTGTCAACCAGCTGGACAGCTTTGTGGATCGACCCACCGTTCCTCTCTTCCATGTTGTCTTTAAGGGCCTGGGTGAGTCAATGAATAAATGTTGTAAGGGATGTTTTTTCTCCAACTAAATCGCTTTGTGCTGTATTGAAGCATTTGACTAGAAATCATGATATCAACAACCAATGCACATGCAACTGCTGGATATTTTTTGAATGCCACATCTGTGTGGCTGTAATAAGTTGGCACCAACACCTCATCCCTCCCAACAAGGATGCAGCACAGGAGCGATTAGAGAGTCACAACTGTCAACTGTTTCTGTTCAGCGTAGATTGTCATTAGTAACAAGAGTTCAAACACATGAAAAGGCAGCATAGCAATAAACTCATCCCAGTATATACGTATGTGTTATTCTGAAACTACATGCATGAATCTTTGTTCTGTTTGTCAACATGCTGATGTGACATGTTCACAGGCATCGCACTGAGCAATGGTTACTTGTGGAAGAAACAGAGGAAGTTTGCCAACACTCACCTGCGTCACTTCGGAGAGGGCCTGAAGTCCCTGGAGAAACATATTGAAGTGGAGAGCAATTGCCTCTGTGAAGCATTCAAAGAGGAACAAGGCAAGTAGATACAGTAGCTAATATGACTTGTGTAAATCATTCGTGATTTTTCCATTGTGAATTATCATCATTTGAGTTGAATTGACAATATTCCCAGGAAGACCCTTCAACCCCCACTACACCCTGACCACCGCAGTCAGTAACATCATATCCTCTGTGGTGTTCGGGCATCGCTTTGAATACAGTGACGAAAGCTTTCGCAAGGTTCTGGAGTTGGACAATGAGGCCGTTTTGCTCACTGGTTCTCCTCAGACTCAGGTCATTTCTGTATGAAGTATTTTCTTGTGATCAAAAAACAAACTGAGCTGCTCATCTTTGTCACTATTTATTTATTACTATTATCATTATCATTGAGATATAATATCACTTCTCCCAGGGACTCTTGGTCAAATTTATGAAAAAGGTTTCTTGAATACAGGCAGGGAACACAGTGAACAAACTTAATCACAGAACAAACACTTACAGGAATTACTGAATAAATGACATAACATCTTATGGAAGCAATGATATTGTTTTGTGAATACTGATGACTTTAAAAGATTTTTTAAACATGCGGGTAATGATTCCTGGTTTAATACATCTTGCAGCTCACATGGAGCATGAAAGAAAAAGTAGATATACCAGCTCTGTTTAGGTTGTTAGTACAGAATTTTCTTTCTGATTATCTCTTATTGTAGCTACAAGTATAAAAAGAGTGTTGTGGCAACTTCAGCACTAAAGCTTTTGCAAAAGAAAAAAATAAGGATACAGTTGATCCCTCTATAAACCAGAATTATTTCCACAATCTACAGCATGATATGCTACATCCAGTTTCTTCTAAGACAGATATAGATGAATGCATAATCTCGTACTGAATCAAATATAAAAAGGCACTTTGGACATGTACTTTTCTAACAGTAATAGGAAAATATTTTTAAATGAAAATTCGAAACCTGGTCTTTGGCTGACCTGAGACTGTGTCGCATCACACAGCTGTATGATGCCTTCCCTGGCTTGTTGAAGTACCTGCCAGGGCCTCACCAGAAAGTCCATGGCAACTATGCACAGATCACAGCGTTCCTGAGGAAGGAAATAGAGAAGCACCAGGAGGAATGGAACTCTGAAGACCCTCGAGATTTTATCGATGAATACCTGTCAGTGATTGAGAAGGTATGATGTTTATTAGTAGTTACTGGTTTGAAAGAGTTTATTCTGAACCATCTGAAAAGTTTCTTTTTTAAATTTTTTATTTACCATTGTGTCGTGCCTGGACGAGTTGCTCAGCACTTGTGCCCTTACGATCCTCCTTTAACATGACAAAACATCAATGTACTGTTTGTTAGTTGCTCCAGTCATGATGAGCCAACAGCCTCAGTGAGACGAGAGAGAGTGGTGTCTGCGTCTTAATATTCTGTTGGGAAATTAAGATGTTAAAGTTTGTGATGAGAATAAAAACTGTTAATTGTCATGTTCCATCTGTGAATGGTAATATACAAAGAACTGTGTGTGATGTTATAAGATAACCTGTTTTATTGTTGTCTCACTAGAAAAAAGAGGACCCTCAGGCTGGCTTCAACATTGAAACCCTGCTGATTTGCACGCTTGACCTGATCGAGGCCGGGACGGAAACAGCCGCAACCACTTTACGCTGGGCGCTCGTGTACATGATAAACTACCCAGAGATACAGAGTCAGTCAATTCATCTTCATTAATTATGTTAAGGACTGGAGTCTTGTGTTTAATGGTCAATGTTGTGGTACTGGCTCTGCTTCCTTACTCTACAGAGAAAGTCCAAGAAGAGATAGACAGAGTGATAGGACAGTCACGTCAGCCAACAATGGCTGACAGACCCAACCTCCCCTACACTGACGCTGTCATCCACGAGACTCAAAGGATGGGAAACATTGTTCCGATGGGATTCCCCAAAATGGCAAGTAAAGACGCGACACTGGGAGGATACTTCATACCCAAGGTAGGGGACTGTTGTCCACACTCACCCAGAAGAGTTTCAAGTCATGAAATTTGCAAATGATTAATTCACAGCTGGTTAAAAAAGCATTGCATAACTCTTTCCAGGGCACAGGTATAACTACACTGCTATCATCTGTGCTGTTTGATAAGAATGAGTGGGAGACTCCAGACACCTTCAATCCCGAGCATTTCTTGGATGCAGAGGGTCAGTTCCGCAGGAGAGACGCCTTCTTGCCGTTCTCAGCAGGTTTGTTCTATACGTTCTGTAAAACTCTTTGTCTTACAAGAGTTGCTACCAACAACATTTATAATAGGAGGAAGTGTTGTAATCTTCAATCTCATCTGTCCCGCCCCCAGGTAAACGTGTGTGTTTAGGGGAGCCCCTGGCCAGAATGGAGCTGTTCCTGTTCTTTACATCTCTCCTCCAACACTTCACCTTCTCTCCTGTTCCTGGAGAAATGCCCAGCTTGGAGGGCGTGCTGGGCTTTACCCATTCCCCAGATGAGTTCAGGATGCTCGCCATACCCCGCTGATGGCTCTCCATCTTCCATTACCCCATTCCAAAACAGAGGCATCAATGTGCAGAAACACATCAAAAGTCCATCATCTTTAGTGAAACAATAAGACGATGATTGTATATCTAACTTGTAACTGAAAAATACTGAAAATGACTTGACTTTCGCGTGTAAATAAAAAAATAAAATTTCCATGTATGACAAAATTCCTGGTCATCTGGGTCTTTGGCTTCAGCACACTCAATTATTTTTCATTTGATTCTTTCAGGAAATTTTAGCCATTATTTCCATGGTCCACCCACAGCCAGGTTTTCAGTCATTTTTTTTTGTGAAAACCTGTTTTGTTGTTTATGATCAAAACTTAATCAACAAAACTTTAAATAAGACTTTACCCAAACCTCTCTTCCCTGTTGTTTTTGTGGACTCAGTGGTTAGCTTGAATTATTCATTAAACCTTCCATTCCCCAACATACTTGTACTGATCACTGACAAGCTTTTATGTACAGGTGCTCAGGTACTTCAGTAACATGCTTACCACCCTATGAAATTTCACGTTTGATCCATTAATGTAATGAGCTAATACTGACATTTTATAGTAATAGTACTATTAATAGTATTAATAGTACTAAGCCACAGGAACAGGATTAAAAGTTTATGAAGTTGTATTTTTTGAGATAATATTTATCCTTTATGGATTCATGACATAACAAACGGCTCTTTGAACTTTAGATCTTTTAATGACCCTGAATCATGGATAAGCTGGTTGTTAAACTTCAACTTTCAGTTACTTATATAACAGTGATTCAACAACTCCCTTATCAAACTCACACTTCAATAATAAATAATTCTAATAACACAAACTCTCAGAAGTATTTGTTGCCAATCTTTTTTTCGATGACTTGTTTTAAAAAAAACACAATTTCCCTTTTCACTTTTTTGTTACAGATTATAGTTCATGGATCCAAACACCTACACACAAAACAAAATCATCACCACAAATATCTGCAGCTCGCCCAACATTTGAATAAATCCCCATGTTCACATAACTGCTTTTAAAAATACGAAAAGTCAAAAAAAGAACTTTAAATTACTTACCTTTAAGGGACTACACAAAGGTTGGAAGTTGTAACATTTAAAAAAAAAGAAGTTTAGCAATATACACTGAAATTGTGTTGCTCCATGTTCCCTATGTTTTGAAAAAAAAACATCATAAAAAATTTCTACCATTTCTAAGAAGCTCAAAATTTGTTTCATAAGCTTCTGCATCTTTCAATGTATACAAGTGAAGTTCAACCTTTGGATTGTGACATGAATGAAGCTTTGCTTAGACCAAAGTGCTGAACAAGCTCAAATGTAAAAGAATATAAAAAGAAAGAAAGAAACTGAGAAAAATACCAGAGCAATAAAACATTAAACATAATTCATAAAATATTGTAAGAGAGCAAATTAAATCAGGATCTCAAAATCAGCTTGAAATGAAAGCCACAGAGAACAATCAGGTCTTTAACAATGATTTAAATGTTTCTACAGTCTGAGTGGTTCTAATGTGAACAGTTAAGCTGTTAGGGGCAACCACTGCGAAGGTCCAGTTTGGTCTTTTATGCTGCAGTGGATTGGCTCATTGTTTGCAGGATGAAGCTTGGTTGTGTAACCGTGGTGTCACGCTCGCTCAAACAAACACACAGACCATGTCCTAAAAAGTCACATGCTATTTCTACACCATGCCATAAAAGCATGTTAGTGTTCACTACTGTACAATGTCAGTACCTTTGAACAGACTTTGTACTGATTGTTATAGTTGTTTTTGTGACCATAATAAAAGGGTGGACACTGATATTTCACTGCTCAGAAGAGAAATTATTGGAAAAGCACAGACCTTCCTCCCGGTGCTGCTTTGGCTCTTGAAACCATGTGGCTTTATAACTTTTTGCTGAGTTTGGACCTTAAGGGATTGTTTCTGTTTCTGTTTATTTTTATTTTAATGGCAGATTTCATCAAACACAGGAATCCACCAAATTATCCTCCAGGACCGTCTGGTCTGCCCATTGTGGGGAATTTCTTCAGTATGGACAGTAAACATCCATACAAATATTTTACCAAGGTACAGTTTACAGGTTTCAACTGACACAACTGTTATGTTTTTATTTAAGTGTTAATGTATTAATAAATCTCATTGAGACCCATATTTTTACTTGGTTGGTTTTAATTGAATTAATAGAACATATATTCAGTTGAACAAATTTTTTTGAACAATCTAAATAGTTTAAAAATGTTTGGCTCACCAGTATCTATTTCTCTCTAATGTCGGCAGCTGGCTGAAATCTACGGGAACGTGTTCAGTGTCCGCCTAGGCAGTGATAAGCTTGTGTTTGTGACTGGGTATAAGATGTTGAAGGAATCCATAGTGACACAAGCTGAGAACTTTGTGGATCGACCACAGTCTCCGATGATTGACAGGATGTACGGAGGCAGCTCAGGTGTACACATCACTCTCTTTCTCTTATCCAGTGCAGAACAGAAGTGACTTCCTGCAAGTTGTTCACTCTCGCTTGTGTGTAGGTGGTCTGTTCATGAGTAATGGTGAAACATGGAAGAAACAGCGGCGTTTTGCTTTGTCCACCTTACGCACCTTTGGCCTGGGCAAAAGTCTCATGGAGCAGAGCATCTGTGAGGAGATCCGATACCTGCAGGAGGAGCTGGAGAAAGAGAAAGGTGGTGAACATGTAGCAAACAATAAACTCATAATCCCACATGAGGAGTTGTCCTAACAGTGGACTCCTCTCTTCCAGGTGAACCTTTCAGCACAGCAGGCCTCTTTAACAACGCTGTATCCAACATCATTTGCCAGATGGTGATGGGAAAACGCTATGAGTACAGCGACCACAATTTCCAGACCATGCTGACGTATCTGTCTGAGTTTTTTAGGCTGGAGGGCTCCATATGGGGTTTCGTAAGTCAATAACACACATAAGTTCAATCATTGCCAGAGAGGCAGCTCTCTTGTGGAATTGAGGGGTCAATTCTCCTTAACCAAAGGTGAAAGGAAATGTTAACTTTCTTCCTTCTGCTGTTTTTTTTATGAATAGCTGTATGAATCGTTCCCCAACGTGATGAACTACTTGCCAGGTCCCCACAACAAAATATTCAGTCACTTTATTGACATCCAAGACTTCCTGAAGCAGGAGTTACAGAGGCACAAGAAGGAACTGGATCACAACAATCCCCAGGACTACATTGACGCTTTCCTGATTGAAATGGCGAATGTACGTGGCCAGATATGTTGTACGCAGAGTTTTCGCTCTCTCTGTCAAACTGCTAATCATTCACCACTATATCCACTCTCTGAACAGCACAAAGACTCCGAGCTGGGCTTCACTGACACCAATCTGATAATGTGCTCTCTGGATATGTTCCTAGCTGGAACAGAGACAACTGCCATCACATTGCAGTGGGCTTTGGTTTATTTCATCAATAACCCTGAGATCCAAGGTATGTGACACGCAAAGCTGCATAGAGAGCTGTGAAGTAGGAAGGAAACTGAAGTTTGGATCTATCCATACTTACTAAGTTGCTAATACTTATGAATGCAATGAATCAGCATACAGACACACTCCTGATCATGTTATGCAGGAATAATGATAAATATGTTCAACGTCTTTGTTTAGGTTGTTAACATGATAACATTTGCTAATTAATTCAAATATGTGGGAATCCAAATGAATCCATCCATGTTGAGTTGGTTTGGACCATAGACTGTATCAAGATGGACAACACATGTCCACCTCCTCACATTAACCAGAAATGAAGCCAAAATATCCTGCATACAAACGCTGCCATCTCGCACATTTGGACTCTTTGCAGTAACAATTAGGGGGGTGGAGCCGCAGTAGTGAGGTCCTGATACTGATACAAAAGCTCAACCAATCACAAGTCAGTCACAGCTGTCAATCATGATGTTTCAGCCCATCTTCATAGAGCTCAACAGCATGGTTACAAAGCAAAAAAATCTAATTGACATTTTGATTACCAGACAATATTGTAACCATCCAAGGTACACTTACTACGAGCTACAAGATTGTGAATCAATGTTTTATGCTCCTGTAGAAGGCACAAGTTCATATATCAACTGCGTTTTAATAAAAACTTGTTTTATTTACAATGACAAAGAGAAGATTTACACTATCCACAATCCTCAGGTATAAAAGTGACCCCTCTGATTGGTGGAGCTCGCTGTTACTATTGAAATGCTTACAACAACAACAAAAATAATGTTGGCTACAATTGGCAATGATCAGATTGTTCAGCTTAGTCCTTTTCAGTTTCTCTGTGTCTCTCCTCCTATTTGTGTTCTTGTGTCAGTGTCTCTGTCTCTGGCAGCTCCGCTGCTGCCTTTTGAATCCAGGGAGAGTTGATTGGCTAGCTGTGCCAATCCCCTCTCCCTATACACTTTATCAATATATATGTGTGAAACAAACTACTGTATATTGCAACACTGTATTAACAACATGGTTAAATTCCAGAAAAAGTATGCTTCAAGTTTTTGGAAAGGGATCATTCATTTTAGTTTGGGTCACATCTACTAACATGGATGAGGCAGGATTTATGTCCTTTACTGCAGCCATCTACCAGTTGGCAATCAAGACCCTTTGGTTTCACTTTTTGGTCACCATCATGTCATCAATCTTACAGTCTATGGTCTGGACCAAAGTAGTGGACTTATCTACCAGCAGTGTTGAATGATGGGAAGTATTAATATGGCTTATTTTCTTTGTTAAATTTTCAATAACAACTCAAGAGGATTATATATGAGAGCTCTTAAATTGATCAGATAAATTATTTTCCCCATAGAAGACCACTTCAGGAAGCAGAGGCTACCAAAAACCAAATGGATTGGCAGTAGCTAATATATATGTGTGTCAGTGGCAATCTAACATACATGACAATGGGATCACGATGTTTTATGGCCGACTGAGGCAAACAGTTTTTAATATTCGCTCCATGCCTTAAAGGTACAGTGTGTAGAATTTTGTGATATCTAGTGTTGAAATTGCATGTTGCAGCTGAACACCCCTCACCTCACCCTCTCCTTCCAAACAAAAAGAACCTGTGGTAGCTTCAGTTGTCATGAAAACTCAAAAGGTGTTTAATTTGTCCAGTCTGGACTAATGTAAAAAACATGGCGGCCTCCGTAGAGAGGGTCCCCTCAATGTAAATATAAAGTATTTAAATATAAAGGGCCTTTTCTGGGGTAAAGAAAACTACAATTCATACAATTTAGACGAAACGAACTAGTGAAAACATCATGAGGATTATTCTACATTAGATTTCTGCCAAAAGTTCCCTTTCACCTAAATCTTACACACTGGACCTTTAAGCTAAAACTATTAATTTGTTGAATTTCTAGAAAAAGTCCAGACAGAGATAGACGGAGTGATCGGACAGAGCCGTCAGCCCACTATGGCCGACAGACCCAACATGCCCTACACTGACGCTGTCATCCATGAGATCCAGAGGATGGGAAACATTGTTCCGCTGAATGGACTCAGAGTAGCTGCCAAGGACACAACACTGGGTGGTTACTTCATACCGAAGGTGCATCTACATTGTCATTTAAAGTCTGAACATTATATCTTTATATAAGAATGAGAAATGAAATATGTGAGTGTTGTTGTTGCAGCATTACTTGGTATTAACCTATGAACCGTATTTTTTAGGGTACATCCATAATGCCCATGCTGACCTCTGTGCTGTTTGACAAGGATGAGTGGGAAACTCCAGACACTTTCAACCCCGGACACTTCCTGGATGCTGAGGGAAAGTTTGTGAGGAAAGAAGCTCACCTGCCTTTCTCTGCAGGTAAACCATGCAGATTAACCTTCATTTTAAAAATGACCCAGAATATATATCTTGTGCTCTGACACCTTTGTGTGTGTGTGTGTGTGTGTGTGTGTGTGTGTGTGTGTGTGTGTGTGTGTGTGTGTGTGNTGTGTGTGTGTGTGTGTGTGTGTGTGTGTGTGTGTGTGTGTGTGTGTGTGTGTGACTCCTCAGGGAAACGTGTGTGTCTCGGAGAGGGCCTGGCCAAGATGGAGCTGTTTCTGTTTTTGGTAGGTTTACTGCAGAGGTTCTCTTTCACCGCTCCTGACGGAGTAGAGCTGAGTACAGAAGGAATCACTGGGTCGGTTCGAGTGCCGCACCCCTTCAAGGTTCATGCCAAGGCTCGCTGAATTAGGCGACATCTCACGGAACTGTTTTCCCCTGAATCACTACAGGACAAGACACAAGCAAATCACAGAAGAGACAGCTCAATCTGATGTTTTCACTGTTGTATGATCATGTACTGAAGAACTGCTTAGTCTCTCTGTCTGTACATTTAATTCTGTGTGATAATTTGTATTGATTTGATAGTTTTAGTTTAAAATATGTTTGGTTTTGTTTAATTAATCAATTAATAAAATAATGACAAGGTTAAATCAATGGATTTAGATAAATGAAAATGTATTGGTTTATGTCACTGATAAAGCTGCTTTCGGACATGCACTGAACCCCACAGTTTTTCTCCGGAGGAGGTGCATGTGTGAATGCAAATATCCACCTGGCCTGCTAGTGTGAAGTCCATAGAAATCCTGGATAATCCAATGTGTGAACACAGAAGGAGTTGATTATGCGGGACAGACACAAAAATGAAAAAAAACAAAAAGTAAACAAATATCTCCAACACCGACAAAAGTGTGATAAGAGCTGATAACAGTGTATGTGTGTTCAGAAAATCATGTGATCTCTGCAGCAGAGTTAATATGTCACTTCCTGCCTCTGTCTGCTGCATTGTCTGCTCCACCTCTCGTCTGAATAATGTGGAGGATTTGTTGCTGTTCTGAACACTGCTGTGTTGTGCATGAGTGAAAAGTAAACTCTGGGTAAACTCTCTAGCCAATTCTCTGGATTTTACCCACAGGTCATGTTGGAGAACTGTTTAAAACTATAGAAGCCACTAACATTTCAACAGTCCACAAAAGCAGCAGTATTTCAAATAATTCCAGCTTTAAAATATATCCACAAATATCCTCACAATATTTTAACCAAGCTGGTTGCTTATTTTAAACAGTTTGGAGTATTTTTTTTAAAGCCCACTGAGTAAAATTGTGGTATTTTTGGGAGTAAATACCATTGCCTCTCCTTTTCTTAAACTCAGCAAACATAAAACACAATCTGATTTTCTCATCAAGGTCTATGACTTATTCTCACAATTTTAAATAAAGTGACAAAAAATCCTGGATCTGCTTTCTGTTCTGGATCCACACAAAACCTTAATGGGCTTTTCCTTGGTCCATGTTTCATCCTTCCACCAAGTTTTGTGGGAATCTGTGCTGTTGTTTTTGTGTAATCCTGCTTAAAAACAAACCAACAGGCAAAGGTGAAAACATAACCACCTTGCTGGTCATGTGTAGGTCAACAATCTGAGAATCATCCTCATGCAGATTGTTCTCTCTCACAGATCATATAACTGGTTCTCTATATGAGCTGTGGGCAGAGGAGGCAAAAGTACTCACATTCTTTAATTAAGTAAAAGTACAGATACTTGTAAAAAAAAGACTGGTAAAAGTAGCAGTACTGATTCAACTCCTTTACTCAAGTAAAAGTAAGAACGTACAGGCTCTGAAATGTAAAATAATTTTTAACTTCAATGATACACAATTCCTCTTTTGATAACTCTGCAAAATGAAAAAAGTTGTAGGCACACAAAATAGGATAATTTTACTCTTTTGCAGAGGTGGGAAGTAACGAAGTACAAATACTTTGTTACTGTACTTAAGTAGATTATTCAGGTATCTGTACTTTACTGACAACTTTTTACTTTTACATTTGAAAACAAATATCTGTACTTTCTACTCATTACATTCTGAAAACTGGATTGTTACTTGTTTTTGCACAGAGCTGGAACAGAGGAAAAAAAAAACATCACAGGGTGGATGCTGGACTCGGCCTGATCTAGTTTTGCTGCCAAATTTCAGGCAGAATGATAAAGACTGAACTGATCAGAGATCCTGCATGAGCACCTGGATAATGTTTTACAGGCAATAAATGGATGGGGAATGTGATGGCCCTCTGTACACACTGCCCGTTGATACCACCGATTGGATGGTTTAGCGAAGTCCTTGGATCGGCCCCGCCGGAGTTGGTCACGGCCCTGGCAGAGCGCCGAGAACACGATCAAACTAAGTAGAGTAAATATTGCACATAATGCCTTTTTCAACTAAAAATAAATGAACTTTGAGCCTGAATTTCTCAAAAATGATACAGTAAATATGCTTGATACTGAGTGAGTGCACAGTCAGGATGGTCCTGAGGACAACTTTTGACAACCTTTGTCAGAAATTATGGAATAAAGTGATTTTACAGTAGAGTAAAAGATTGGCTTGCTCCGTACCATGGACTACCTGCATTTGCCATGCATTCTGTAATACGGGCGCACTTGAAATCAGGAAAAGACGAACGTCTGAGCGAGAGGTGCTCCGTGCGGAAAAGTGTAAAAACAAGTAACGACCAAGTTTTCAGAATGTAAGGAGTAGAAAGTACAGATATTTGTATTCACATGTAGGGAGTAAAAGTAAAAAGTCGTCAGGAAAATAAATACTCAAGTAAAGTACAGATACCTGAAAAATCTACTTAAGCACAGTAACGAAGTATTTGTACTTTGTTACTTCCCACCTCTGGCTGTGAGTCAGCAGAGCACCAGCCCATCTCGAGCTGGGAACAAATATGATCCTCCTCAGCCATTTGCTCGTCTCTGCTCCTGCTCTGCTCCATGATGAGGGGGTATCATCTCTTTCTGTGGCTCGACCTGAGGGGACTGCTGCTGGTCTCTATCATTGCTCTGCTGGTCGTGTACTTTCTGATCAAAAAGGATCCTCCTAATTTTCCCCCTGGACCACCAGCGCTCCCGCTTCTCGGAAACGTCTTAAGCATTGAAGCCAAACAGCCTCACATTTACCTCACCAAGGTAAGCTGACAGCATCAAGACATTTAATGCAGTGGTGTTTTTTTGAGATTCTGACTTGAGCAACTTGAGCATGTCCTAAAGGAGGATTTTATGTCTCATTTAAAAATTCTGTCTATCTCAATTGCTCTATTTCAATTTTCAGTCACACAAGTATAAGGGAGTTACTAAATAGTAACACAAAAGATTCTGCAGCAACAAGATATTAAGCTTTCTTTTAAAAACAACGCCCCAAAAGAACCTGTTGATATTAAGACAAAGTGTTTGACAATACATTGTGCTGACAAATGCATCTTACCAGAGTCACATGATGGACAACAGGCCTTTTATTCTCTGCCTCTGCATCCACAGCTCGCTGATGTTTATGGGAATGTGTTCTGCATTCGTCTGGGAAGACACAAAACAGTGTTTGTGTCTGGGTGGAAGATGGTGAAGGAAGCTTTAGTGACACAGGCGGACAACTTTGTGGATCGACCTTACAGCCCGATGGTGAACAGAATTTATTCAGGGAACTCAGGTAAACCTGGATTATGTACATGAGGTATGTCAGTATTAAAGCAACAGTTTAGCAGTTTTCAGACATGAACTCCGGTGATTGTCGTGATGAAACCTCCGGGGGATCTCCTGCTGTATTCTCACACAAGCTCATTTGGACTTACTCTAGAGTTCTTACTGGGGGGCAGGCAGGACAAACTCTGCAGCCTCTCACTCAGACATTTGCACTCTCACAAGACCCTTTGAAAAATATCAGGAGATTATCCGGAGGTCAATGCATGTCTGAAAGCAGCTTATGTAACTTTTACTGAACAACGGCGCCACACGTGGTGACTTATTCTGTTCGGCTCCGTGTCTAAGTGATTAAGTGGTTTTCACGAAGAAAAAAAAAAAAGTCTATCGATGAGTTGACTGGAACTCTGACTGCACAGTCCCACTCACTGAACTGAAACACAACTGAACTATGCATATTACCCATGAGCCCCAGCTTCCTGAATCTGAAGAGCTGCTCCTATACCAATAGCACCAAACATTTAACATTTGTGTTATTTCAAAAATGTCCTGGCTGAATATTGGAGGTAAATGTTCGTATTTCATTATTTTCAAAGGTTGAACTGATCTTTAGTTCAGTATTACTTTTGAACTTGATGGGCTACAGATGTTCAGGGTGAGGAGTGGAGCTAAACGTGCCTCTATCCTCCCTATTTCTAGTCAGTGAACCATCACAAAATCTGCTATTTCAAGGTAAAAAAAAAAAGGCACATAGTGTTGTTTTAAAGGATTCAACCAGTCTCCTGAGCCCTGCCAGATCAATATTTGGGTTCTCTGTGTCTCAGCAGGTCTTTTTTTCAGTAACGGGAAGGTGTGGAGGAGACAGCGACGCTTCGCCATGGCCATGTTACGTACCTTTGGTCTGGCCAAGAGCTCCACAGAGCGGAGCATCTGTGAAGAGAGCCAACATCTGCAGGAGGCCATGGAGAAGGAGAAAGGTTAGCAAAAAGCTACAGGTCAGGCACAAACACAGTGAAGTAAAAGTACCACATTAACATGTGCTTACGTTTAAATATACTTAAATTATTAAAGTACTTGCATAGTGTAGCCTTTTTCCTACAGTCTACTACATCATTACATCATAAGTCTCGGTTGTGGCGTCACTGCTGCTCTCAATGGAGGTGGGGTCATATTTACCTGCTCACTCTGATTGGATCAGCGGAGCAATTCCAATCTCATCATTGATAACTAAAACATTAAAAAAAACAATGTAAACATGTTATGCCATGCATTGTATAATGGTGTCTAGGGGAGTAGCAGGTACAGGCATTTGCTGTAGAGTTGTGGAAAAAAATGGACAAGTAAAATCAATCTACTTAAGTAAAGTACAAATACCTAGAAAGCAGTACTGAAGTACATGTATTTCATTACGTCCCATCAATGTAAATACACAGACTGAAGACATTTCTTCTGTTCAGGTGAGCCGTTCGACCCTGTGTCGCTCTTAAACAGCGCTGTAGCCAACATCATCTGTCAGATAGTGTTTGGGAGACGGTTTGACTACAGCGATCACGACTTTCAGAGCATGCTGAAGAATCTGACAGAGATTGCCTATTTGGAAGGCTCCATATGGGCTCTAGTAAGACACCACAGCAACATTTGTCACCTGAAAGTTTACAACAGAAAATAATTAAAGCTCGAGTGAAATCTTCACTTGCCAGTGGACAAAAAACAAGATTACAAGATATCCCTTGTTTCTTCTCTAAACAGCTTTATGATGCATTCCCTGCTCTGATGGAACATCTGCCCGGGCCTCACAATGGCATCTTCAGCAACTCCAAATCTCTGGAGGCCGCTATCAGGAGAGAGATAGAAAGGCACAACTTGGATCTGAACCCCAGCGACCCTCGAGATTACATCGACACCTTCCTCATAGAACAGAAAGTACTGTGCTCACATTCTTGACTTAGCTTTTATTGTTACATACGTGAACAGAGACAGAGCAGTTTTTATGAACTGAGTGTGTATTTGTTCTGCCTCCACTCTGGCTGACAGCACAACAGACACACTGAACAGGGCTTTGACGAAGGAAACCTGGCTCTGTGTTGTCTGGATCTGTTCCTGGCCGGCAGTGAAACCACCTCAAAGACCCTGCAGTGGGGCCTCATCTACCTCATCAAGAACCCTCATATCCAAGGTGGGAGCTCAGAGGAGATGTACCTTTCATGATCCCAACAGTGGCAGCTCAAAGAGCTAATAGATTTCAACTCTTTTCTTTCAACTTGTAGAAAAAGTCCAGGCAGAGATAGACGGAGTGATCGGACAGAGCCGTCAGCCCACTATGGCCGACAGACCCAACATGTCCTACACTGACGCTGTCATCCATGAGATCCAGAGGATGGGAAACATTGTTCCTCTGAATGGACTCAGAGTAGCTGCCAAGGACACAACACTGGGTGGTTACTTCATACCGAAGGTACATGAACTTGTAACACACAGTAAATACTAAGTAAATTAAAACAGCAATTTACTCTCAGCATGAAAGTAAAATTACTCAGAATGTCCCTGAGTGAACTTTTACAAAATCAGCATGTAAATACCATTTTACTGTTGTAGCTGCTGGGGGTGGAACTAGTTTTAATTGTGCTATTAAGTCCAGTAGTTTCTTCGCCACTAAATGTGACTTTATACAGAAGTGTGTGTCAACAAGTATTTACTGGTGGCTGAAGAGACTGAACTGGCAAGATACTAAAATTAAACTTGGACAATAACTGTTGATTCCTTTAGGTCACAAACCCATATAGTGCCTATGACATCCTTCCAGCAGAGTCCTTGTGATGAAGACATATTCAATCTAAACAAAGTACAAGAGTTGATTGCTGATGGTTTGTGCAGGGAACCACTGTGATGCCCAACCTGACCTCTGTGCTGTTTGACAAGACTGAATGGGAAACTCCAGACACCTTCAACCCCGGTCACTTCCTGGATGCTGAGGGAAAGTTTGTGAGGAGGGAAGCGTTTTTACCTTTCTCTGCAGGTTGGAAACTTGAATCATTAAATTTCTAGAGCTCCATCAGCAGAAATGGAATATAATATTTACACTAGGTTTTCATGAGTGTATAATCACCTGAAACTAAGAATCTATGTGTTTATTACCTTAGAATGAGTCCATGTTGCAAAAGAGCAGTTGAACCATAATCGCATGGAAGGGTAGAATGATCAAACCAAACCTGAGGGCCACTGTAGGTTCATGTGTAACGGGAGGGGTCTTTAGATTGTTACAATTTGCAAGCCTACCACTAGATGCTGCTAAATCCTACACACTGAACCTTGGTGCAGGAACAAAGTGATGTTGGCTGCAAACTGTGGGTGGATGATGAGAGTTGTGCTTGTTTTTCCCAGGAAAGCGTGCGTGTCTGGGAGAAGGCCTGGCGAGAATGGAGCTGTTCTTGTTCTTCGTCAGTTTGTTTCAGAAGTTTTATTTTTCCACTGTGGAAGGAGTTGAGCTGAGGACAGAGGGAATCATTGGAGCCACACGTACACCGTACCCCTTTAAGATCTACGCCAAGGCCAGATGAATCCTGTAACTGCTCCCCTGTACTGCAGACTAAGCCAAAAGATATTTTACAGTTTAATAAATAGACAACATCTGCTGCAACAGTTGCTAGTTTTCATTACCATCCATGCTTCTAATGAGTCCAGCAGAGAACATGTGAGAAAAACGGATGGATGCACAAGGTAATGTTTCATGAAATTGGTAAAGTGGAACTGTAGCCTGCTCTTTGTTTTGCTGCTACACAGAATCACATAATGGGTGACTGTGTGATGAATGAACATCATTATGTAACCAGCAAGCAGCTGCAAAATCTCCCTCTTTTGTTAATGACAAGTCAATTCATGTCTATTTATCACTTTTCCCTTTAAATGAAAGATTTCAGTTATAGTGTCGCTCACTTTAAAAATACATTTCAATAAAAAAGGACAGATTTTGTCTTTTTGTTCTCTTGTAGGTACACGCATGTATGACTGGATCATAAACTCTGTATAAGTGTCTTGCTCGCCACCTGGTGGCTGGCTGCAGTATAGGTCAAAACCCCCGACTCCCTCATGTTAGTGGATGAGACATGGCCTAAAAATAATAAATACAAATAAATAACATTTTCTCAAAGATGGTTTCTATCATTTCATATCACACAGATGAACTGTTCAAGTGTTCATTTTGACTGTGAGTTTGCCTTTGATTAGTTCTACGATGCTTAAAAAACATGATGAAATGTCATGACTGACAGCTGAGTTTGACTTGTGATTGACTTGTGTTGACCTGTATCTATGGGATCTCCCTAACTCGGCTCCAAAGTTCTGATCACTACTGCAAAGACTCTGGCTCCAAATATACCAGATATTTCAACTTCATTTGTGGATAGTGGGAGAAGGCTAATATGGGTTATTCATCTTTATACAGTCTATTGTACGCTGTCTCTGGATCTGTCCTGATGGGGTCAACATGTAAATTGCTTCTTTAGTGCCACATAAGAAGGTGCTAATGGCACAAAACCTCCTGTTCTTAAAACATCTGTGTTCAAATGATTTTTTCAAAGTGTTCAAATGAAAAGCAGCAATTTAGCATTGGTTTTCAAAAGTGTGAGTGTGTGTGTGTGTGTGTGTTTTTAATCCCTAAATTCAAAGAAGATTACTGCATCTTAATGTGAGACACTTTTAGAAAAAATTTATTTATTTATTATTCACAAAAAAACCCAAAGGCTTTAAAATTTTAACTCCCTAAATTCCTAAAAATTCACAATGCCTCACAAACCTGTGACACTGCACATGTGGTCTCTGTGCTGTGCTACATCTTAACATACTTTAACATACAACACTTTTAAATCAGCAATGTACAAGAATCAGCCACTGCAAAGCAAAATAAAAGCGCTTTAACAAACGTCTGTAGATCAAAAACCGCGATAACAGAAATGACCCTTTAGTGTTACTACAAATGATGAAATGAACAAAGCAATCAACAATCAATCAACAGCTGATGAACTTAAGACTCCATCAGATCAGATGGCCAATAACCCACCATATCAAAGGGAACAATCGCTTCTCTGCAGCTCTACAGGGATCAAAACTCTACAGTTACAATCGTATGAATCCTGAACCTGGTCCCAACATCAGGATCAAGCGCTGGTGTTAAAATCATCCTTACGTTACAGCAGTACAACTTCATTTAATAGTCCTATTTACTCACCACTAAATAAAGTTCAACATATTCAGTGAATAAAAAAAGGTCTGTTTCTTTTCCTTTAGACAATGTTGCCTGTAGGAGTCTTATCACATTTAAGAGTCTAAAGACAAAAAATACATGAGTCCTGGATTTATTTTGTGTGATTTGTCATTGCAGCACCTCGGAGGTTGATCACTTAATGAGACATATAGGGTTTTCACAGCTATTTATTATGGGCTTGTTCCATCTAAAAAAACAGAAAAACTATGATGTTTGATGCCTAAAAACAGTTGGTGGCCAGCACCAAATATAGCAATCATTTCCTTAAAGGTCCCCTCTTCACTGCATAGTATGATGGATCTGTTCTACGTATATCAACAGTCATTTTCACTTCCATTTTGTTGTCATTACCATTCAAGTAACCCTTTAAAAATCACATTCATATATTTTACAGGCTCCAATTCTGAATAAAACTTGTTCAAATCCCTAATTTCTGACCACGTGTGACAGGATATAAGAAGGCAAAGGCTAAGTGTTCAGCTGAGTCTGCAGTCGCCAAAGCAGAAACACAAAGCAGTATGAAGTACGCTAAGTCTGTCGGGGGGGGGGGGCATGTGCACTACTTCAGCTAGTGAAGTGAACACAGGTTGTGGGTTCGTTCTCTATGCAAGAGCGGGACAGTATGCTCTAACCACAGGTTGGTGACTTACAGGGTTTTGATGGTAGGTAAGTGCTCATAGATCCCACTCAGTTCATGTGTGACCCTGAGAGCAGATGTAGTATATAAGGTCACTTGAGTGCTCACTTGTGGGATGTAGGGAGTGTATTTTTCCCCTTCAAGGTGAGACATTTGGCTCTGTGACAAGGTCTATTTGGAGGTAGTCGCAGGCACGCTGATGGAAAGCGCCCGGCGTGGGGCGTTTGAGACTTGCCGCTGCTGGGACAAAAAGGATTGGCCAGGGGACAACACGGAGGAGGTGCGGCCGCCAAGACGTGACTCTATGGCCAACTTCTGAAAGCTCAGACTCTGAGGAAGAAAAAACAAAGCAACAAGTGTCTTGAAATTCAGCTTCCTGCTCTTAATATAATATATAGTAAATATCAATGAAGCCATGACAGGCAGAACAGAAATTTAAAAACAATCTCATACCTTGTTATACCATGCTGTGACAATCAGCTTCTCCTCATGCTCTCTCAGCCTGGCCTGCTCATATTGACGCTGGGAGGCAAAATTAAATTAGTTAGATAAAAAAAGTCCTTTAAAAACATCCTGTATGTTCAAATTACAAACATTAAACAAAGACTGTAAAAGTCAAAATGCAAATTTACTTCCAGGTTGACAATCTGCTTGTCCCGGTCTCCCAACTGGTTCCTCAGAGCCTGGATCTCAGCGGTGGCTGGATTCAACTTAGGGTCCAGTGCTCGGATCACCTACGAGCAGGAAAGGAAAGACGATACTGAAATACTGATTGTGACGATGCTTTAAGGTTCAGGGATTAAAGTAACTACAATAAAATACAATAATACAAGTTAAAAAGATTGCCCAAACACTCACATTACGAGCTTTCTCCAGATACATTTTGTACCTCTCTTCCATGGCGCGCATGTCGTCATCCTTTTTCTTCAGAGCAGCCATCAGCTCATCCACCTTCAAGGCTGAGAGACATGGTATTGATTGAGTTTTCACTGAAGTCATATTGTGCTGTTGTGTTTTGGTGCACTCCAGTGATTGCAGTAGTGAAATGATGTGATATGTGACATGACATGAGACTTACAGTTTTGGGTGTTGTCAGGCTGAAGATCCTCCAGCAGCTCTTTCTTCTTCATGATTTCATCCTGAGCCTCGTTCAGCTGAACCCTGAGGAAAAGCCGTTATTTTTCCTCTAGTAGACAAAATGGAAATTCATTTTACAACTGTCAATTTTAAAGCACAGACCCAAAACCCAAACTTACATGTGTGCATCCAGTTTCCGCTTTAGGTTTGACTGAAAAATAAAATCAATGAAAATAGACTATAAAGCACCAACTCACACAAAGGTTACATCCAGTAATAGCAATCAACTTTGCATTGCAAAATAAATTAAAACTATGCAGAATATGAAGGGGCCTCAATCTCTTAATCTGTTTAGTTTTTGACTGATTGATTTTCTTGCATAATAACATGGCAACACAAAGTCTAACAGCCTAATGAGATTAACTCTGTGGGGCCTTTGCTCTGTACTGGTGCCAGTGCATGCTGGTGCACTTACATCATCAGGTTTGGCCACCTGACTCTGCAGAGCTTTCTGGAGGTCCTCCACCTGCTGCTGCAGCTCAGTGATCCGCTCTTGGCTCAATCTGGATTTGTCACAACAAAGAGAAAAGACATGTTTGAAAATGGAGTCAACACAATACATCATTAATGTATCATATCACATCTTCCTGTGGCTAATGGAGGAAGAGACAGAAACCCTGTTAACCTGTTGTCAGTGTCCAGTTCACTGCGTGTCTTGTGTGCGTCCTCCAGCTGAGCCTGCAGAGCAGCGATCTTCTCCTGCTCATAATCCTCCTGCTGCACTCTAAGCATCTTGTTCTCATGCTGCAGCCTGATGAACCTTTCTCTGAACAGTCACACAAACAAAGTCAGTATTGATGCACGCGCACGAAAAAGAATGAACACCAATCCTATGTTGTCTATTACCTGTACTCAATCGGTATTAACTCAGCTGCCAGGTTATCATGGCTGGGGCTGGCAGAAGAAAGCATCCCTACATGGAAACATTATGTGTATTTTAGGGAGAAAACCCAACACCTGGATAAGCAGGGTCATTGTTTTAAATCTAACTTTGTAAAGAAATACCTGCTTGTGCTTGCGAGAGCTGGTGCTGTTGAGCCTGAGTGCATCGCAGCTCCTCGTTCAGCTCCTTCAGAGAATCTCTTTCAATGATGATCCTCTAGGGGAGGGGACGCAAATTCAAAACAACCATACAATTGTTCCTAAAGAATTTACATCAGCTAGAGTCGGAAAAATCGTATGTGCTTTCTTCTTAACACGTTTCAAAAGCTGCCACACCTCTTTCTCCTTCATCACAGTTTCGTGCTTCTCCTCCAGCTTCTTCATTTCAAAGGCGAGAGTGTCTGCTCGCCTCGTCTCCTCAGACAACTTCTTGTGTAACTCTTGGACCTTAAAGAAATCATGTGCACATGTACAGAAGCAAACAAAACAGGAAATGGAAAAACATGCATTAATCCTAGCAAGTGGCATTTAATCAATAAGTGACTTATTTGAGTTTGGAGTGTCTCTTTCTAACCATCATATACCTGTCTCTTGTATGTCTCGAGCTGCGCCCGGGCAGCATTGGCCTTGCGTAGCTCTTCTTCCAGGCTGACAGTGTTGTGCATGTAGGTCATGTTATTCTCCTCCAGCAGCTTCATCTGCCGCTTCAGATCACCCAGATTCTCCAGTTTCCGTTTGTATGTTTCCACTGAGGCCTCCAACATCACCACTCGATCTGAGCAGTTCCTGTATGGACACAGAAATAAATATAGAAATATCGATGAACAAGCTCATAAGTGCTGTTGGGGAAGTTCAAGCCAGCAAGCAAGATGTGATGAACGGTCATACAGGAAGAATACTTTGTGTACTGAGGCTGTTTTTCTGCCTCCACCTGTTGGCACTTGACCAAGAATAAGCCTCTTTGTGAAGACCAGCAACAAAAACATCAGCTTATTTCACTGATTAGTTTCTCTTGTCTGGTCGAGTATTTGGTAATCAGTAAAATCATGGTCCTTGCCTTCCCTCGCCATCTAACTGTCTCAGCTGTGTGCTCAGCTCCTGTTGGGAGGCAACAGTCTGTATGCTGCTCCCTGACATTGACACACACCTCAGAACGTCCAGTTCATCTTTGAGAGCACGAGATTCTTCTGCCAGGCTGGTGAGCTCATCATTACGGTGCTGCACCTCAATTAGCTGCTTCTCCAGCTCTTCGCAGTGGATCCGGTAGTCGTCCTTTGCAGCCTCCAACCTTAAAGTTTCAGATACACAGTTTAGTGGTTCACCATAAAGAGGTTGCTGTCGTATATTTGAGCAGAAAGTGACAAACCTGAAGTTCTCCTCCTGCAGTGTCTCCAGCTGCTGCTGTAATTGGCTGTGTTTTTTTCCTGAAGGTGTGCTAGGGTCATCGAATGTGTCAAGCTGATTGGCTCTGTCAGTTAAGACATCGTTCTCGGCCAATAAGCTGTTTCGTTCCTCTTGCAGTACGGCCACCTGTCCAGGTGCAGCAAGGTTTTAAATCCACTCTCACAGATGATATGAGTTTCAAGTTAATGTGCATTACACAGGAAGTCACCAAGGACAGTATGTGATTACATTTCTCTTTGGTCAATTATTTCATGCAAAGCAGCAAAGTCACATGGCCCTTCAATCACAGATAACCCTTGTCCTCCCCCAGCTGTAAAAGCAAACAGTGCAGTTAATCCATGCTGGAAGCAGAGCACATCAAATGTGAACTATGAGGAAACGTGTTAATACGTGGTTAGTCAGTTTTATTTACTCACCTATCATTTCCATCCAGTGTATTTCACCACCAGACATTGGACAATCAGTCTAGGATTTATGTGCCATTGTTTAAAAGTCTGATATGTCTTTAAACTAGATGAAAACCACCTCTACGACGTAAGAAGCTACACATTCAACTTGGGCTGCACTACAAGGTTGAAATAAATATCAAAAAATTGTTTCTGATGCACATGTGGTAATAATATATAACAATAAGGCAAATGTAATAAACTTGGTGCTTGAATGTAAAGAAAATTTTCCACTGTCACACATCACAAGTAAAATAAAGCTTCACTCGTTCTTTTGTTGCTTTGAAATTTCAGTTAGCTTCAAATCATTTATCTAGGCAACAGGAAAAACATTAGATTATAACTGAAAGTCTGTAAGCAATATAGAATTTTCACCCAGAACCACCTCCAACATCTGTTCCCTTCCTCTATGACAGATATCTTGTATATCTCTTACATTTTTAAATATATGTGCAAGACAGTGATCACCAACCGTTTGAAGCACAAGATCACTTTTTAATTCCAAATGAGATCGACCACCCTGATATCTCGCAAAAAACCCACTTAGGAGGGTCATATTTATTATTTTGGCAAATTCTGTTAAAGGCTCAATGTACGGGCATAAATATACACAAAGAAAGGCAGTTATGCTACTTTCTCTATTCGATGCACAATATTCACATTAATATCAATTAATATTTACAGCATCTGCTCAAAGCAACACTTCCTGAACCCGTTTCAAAGTAAAAGCACTCCAGCGTTTCACTTCCGAATCCATTCCTCGTTCTAACAGGGCTTTGATTGTTGTCGACACACTGGACGATGGGCGTCTTCATACCGTAGAGTCCTGACATTTAGTTTAGTGCATAACCCGACTTGTATTGAAGGAAATGCAGTAGATAAACCCACAGCCCCGCCGACGGTAGCGGACACAATGCCGTGTTGATAGGTTGATACAATGATTATTATGACAGAGCTGCCCCTGTGTAAATTACTGCATTAAAACCACAAAATATTAAAAACATACATTGCAGGACTCAGGATGCTGACTGAGTCGTCTATTAGCTGAGTTAGAGTCAACATTTCAGCAGCGGGTTTAGATGGGTTTAGTTTTGCCGTACGGTCAGCCATGTTGGACTTACCTCGCTGCGGCAAGAGATGAACGAGACTGGGAACAGAGAAAATCAATCTGTCGAGATTCAGTTGAACAGTTACTTTGCAAAATGTTGTCTGAACAGTGCCAGGTGAGGCCTTCTAGCCATGGCAGAGCATGGGCTGGTTGTCACGATGTGAGCCAGCAGAGCCCAGACTATAAGCTCACAGTCCTTCTGCCACAGCAGCTCCAGACAATGGACCTAAGCTTTACAGAGAATTACCCAACTCCTGTTTATACTGTACCCTGGGCATTCGATTGCGTGTGTGCGTGTGTGTGCGCGAGCGTGCGCATGCGCTCTGTATTCACCTGTATGTCCAGCTCTTGACAGCGTTGGGCTAGTGCTTCCTTCTCAGCTAAAAGTTCAGCAAGGTCCTCGCAGGATTTCTTTAATTGGGCACATGAACAAGCTGAAGTAAGTAATACAGTCACTCACTAACTACAGCCCTTAATTTTTGAGGTCCAAATAACTATTTTCAAATTAAGATTTATATATCGTGTTATAGACACTTAAAGGGTTCATATTGCGCTCATTTACAAGTGGTTGAAATTAGAACAATAAAATATATGATGTACAACATGGTAGTAAAGACACTGACCTGCTGTTCAAGGTCCCCTGACTGCTCAGCTCCACATGGGCCCTTGGTGTCTTTACTCATGAGCTGGAAAGAAAACATGTCACTGGGTTTATTACATAGACTTTTTATAGGAGCTTCAAAGCCTCACTTAACAACCACTGCTGCCGTCCAAGTCCCGTAGAGATGGACACTATTGATGAAAATTCCTGTCACTGACAAAAGTGTAGAAGTGTTCAGCCAGGCTTTTCTGTTAATGTTTTATATATCTAGACAATATGAAGGAGAAAGTATTAAGATGGGCTGACCTCCTGGATGGCTGTCATGACAACATGCTGCACAGACTCCTCCAAAGTCATGATGATCTGAATGTATTCTGTCAACAGAGTGAGAAAGAGTCATCAAACACATAATTCATTATGAACAGAACCACTGCGGTCATTGATTTCAGGCAGGGCTTTGCCTTTGTCAGTGGCTTGGACAATAATTCATAATGAATTATAACTTTCACCGGCATTGTGCCGCAAATGTATACCATAGATATGAGTATCTGCATGTGTATACTTTGTGTACACTAACTGTGGTTAACATACAAGCAGTCACATAACTAGAGGGCTGCATTGGGTCCCGTCGGGTCTTGTGGGACGCAACACAAATCTCACGGGAGTGGGCGGTTTGAATTTTGCTGCGGGCGGGAACGGGCGGCAAAAAAAAAAAAAAAAACTGATCGGGATGTAGCCTGGCGACAGGATGGAGTCAACAACTGATGTGGAAAAGAAGCTCAAACAATGTCTTTACAACACAAAAACAAAGCAAGGCAAGTCTGACATTTGGAGAAGTTTCTCAATTGTTTGTGACAAAGATGGAATTTATTAATATCCTATAAAATGACATGTTGTCTCCTGCGGGGCGGGAGAAGACACAAAATCAATGCATCTCTATTATTGTGCGGGCATAAATTCTCAGCGTTTTGCGGGTGTGGGTGGGAGTGAACATACATATTGCGGGACTGGGCGGGAGTCTAACACACACGTTGCGGGCGGTAATGGTCAGAAATTCAGCGTGAGCGGGCAGGAGCAGGATGAAGAAAATAGTCCCGCGCAGGGCTCTATCACATACCTTGTTTATGCTCACATCTAACAGCACAGCCCAGTATGAGCTGCAGCAGCCTCCCCAACTGCACAGGGTCTGAATGCTCTGCCACCAGGGCCAGATCAGGCCATGGGAAGTCTGAGATCTCCTGACATAAGACCTGATGTGACCAAGCAAGAGATAAAGAACCATGTCAGTGTGCTGCACCTTTCTGAGTGCAAGTATTCACAATTATATCAAGTTAAACAGCACTGGTGTTTAAAAGCCTCATGTGCCAACAGAGATGGCAGCAGTCATGCTACAACTAAGGTGATTGCTGAACAAAATATTTCAGTTATGTGTTGAATCAGCAAAATGGTGAGAAAAAAAATGCTGAGTCACAGTACTCCATAGTCTTCTGAATGTTTGTGTACGAGACTTGAGCTGCTTGTTTAAATCTCTACAACACAATGTATTTTCCTTATGCAAGTCTCCTGGGGCTTTACACTATGTAATCAGTGCATAGTACAACTCCCACAGACACAGAAGTAACACACTGAGACTGGCTCTAACATAGAGAAGGTGCTTCTTTCAATCACTTAACAACAGAGGACAGTGTGTACAAGGCAACCGCCTACCTCATTGTAATAATCAACCACCATCTGAAGGACCTTCTTCAGGTTGTTCATCTGAGGAGAACACACAAGGTCACAAAATGCTAGAAAAATCACTTTATCATATATGTATATGAACAAAGAGGATGAGGTGACAGGAAATATACTCTCTATTCTTAAACTATAATCATTTAATGACAGATTTTTTTGATTGTTTGCATCTTTTTTCAATTAAATATTCAAGTCCCCCAGACTTAGAGTTATGTAGCACACAATGTTGTTAAAACCTGTCAAAATAAAGCCAGATTTTTAAATTAACCTACACCCATCAATGAATTAGTATGCTGAATACCAAGGCCCTGGTAAGGCCCTGAAGAGAAGCAGCTAAATGAAAAAATAATGTAATTATTCATATACATGTCGAAATGTATTCTGTGGAAAAGGCCTATTGGGGTAAAAAAGTTGTAGTGGGCAGAACACAGCCAAACTGAAGTAAAGGGAATGGCTTGCTTTTTTTTTTCCTAAATCAGCCTTAATGACAAACATACACATTTCACCAGCGGAGTCGGAGCGTAGGGTCAGAGTGCAGGCTTAGGCAAGAATTGTTCCCCCACCCTGGAGCAGGTAGGAGGTTAGTGTCAAGGATAGTTGAGCAGGACTGAAGCAAACAGAGGATTTTGCACACAGGGGCGTCAGCAATATATGAAGAGAAAACCTAGAGGACACAGAGGGAGGACCGGGAGGATGCCACTTCTCTATACCTTCAGTCTCCAGTTGTCCTCAACATCTGTTTTGATTCGACTAAGCCATCCATCATTGAACCATGCTGGGTCTCTGTAACACACATACACAAAACACCATAGACACACAGAGCTCAAAGTCAACAAGAAAGAAACCTAATATTCCCTGACTCCTTAAAAACACTACACCAAACTAGCTAATATAAAATATTGTGTATGATTAATTGTCACGTTCATATTTTGAATGAAAGTCCTGCAATTAACATCAGACAATTAATTCCTACAGTTGAAAATGCTAATAGAGATAATTATAGTACGAATACACAAGTAAGAGTGAATCTTATCTCAAAACCCAACAACTCTTGTGCATTTCTAAAACTCAGGAACTGTTAAAATAGATTCCTCCCATAACTAATCAACTCTGCTGCCAACTGATGAGTCAAAAAGTAAGTCATTATTCTTTGATTTTAAGTGTCCGACATTAAACATTATGTATACTCAATAAAGTTTTCTGTGTTTGTTTGTGTGTATGTATGTGCTTTAAGGTGGAATGAGCGCAGCTCCTTCAGGACCAGGAAGAGGTTATCCTTGGCTTTTTTGCCTTAGCTGATGTGCAGGGCTGCTGCCACATGGGATGTAATATGACCCAGACAAGACTGGCTTTAAATAATGTATCTTCAGTGCGTGCGTGCGTGCGTGCGTGCGTGCGTGCGTGCGTGCGTGCGTGCGTGCGTGCGTGCGTGCGTGCGTGCGTGCGTGCGTGCGCGTCTTCTCACATCTGATGCAGTGCCTGTGAAATGGCCACTCCAGTGGTCAGCTCCTCCACAGTTCTGCAGGGTGCAGTAGTGTTAAAGGTCTGCAGCTGAGAGGCAGAAAACATAGCACCATCACTCGGACTGGTCATTAATAACAGTTCAAAGAGAAAACAGTGAATAATGTAGTCATGCACTTCATAACCAAGCTATGACCCAAGGTTTTCTCCACAACACTGTCTCAAATCCACTATGAAGAATAAGTAATGGAGAGGAGAGAACTGATGAATGGGTGGATAGCAATATGGCCGGCTAAAGGGCAGATATTAGTGGCAAAGAAAAAGTTTAAATGTGCATAATTTAAGTAGCAGCGAAGGTGTACGGTGAAAAGCTTGTGGAAAGACATCTTATTTCCTAAAGCACACGCTGCTGTTTACAGATTGAGGTGTCAAAAATTTGGAAACGCTGGCACATAGCTTGCCCTGGGTGATAAACAATTAGAATAACTCAATTATCACAATACAATTTTCCTCAATAGCAAAATAGCAAAAGTGTATTTTATATCGCTTTGCTTATCTAAGTGAATGAGTCCACTTACAAACTTTGAACATGATTAGCCCAAATCTCCTTTAATCCAAGACACAAAAATATGTTTCCATGACCAAACCATCCACAGCACACCACATTTCATTAATGTCTGTGATGGTGTGGCACACAAGTGTGATGATTTGACACAGAATGAGTCGCAGTCAACCTCAGATCTAAAACACAAACTTCACTCAGGAGCAAAAATCAGTCTTGAAACTTAAAAGACAATTTTAACGTGATATTCATCAATATCTACTAATATGTACGTTTTAGACCATGTTGGCCTCATCACCCAGCCCCACGTCTTTAAATTCAGTCCACTTTGAAACTTAAGTATTTGACTCCCTGGAGTTTGGGGATAAGATCATACAACCACTTAGTGACACTGTTGTTCAATAAACAGATCAGTAAGTGATGTGGCTCAGGTACAGCTGCAGGGTTTACATGAGATCTGATTAACAAACCCTTCATCCGATTACTAACAGCAAACCAAACACGGACTCGCAGCCATGGAGGAGGACAGGAGCAGGTGCAGCTATGCTAGCTCGCCATGTATACAGGTGTAAAGGTAACCGTGCTGCAGGTGGTAGCTCCGTTGAATCACTTGCATAACGGTGAAGAAAAGAGTTAAAGATACAAAGACATTCCACAAATATCTCCTGGTTAAGTGGATTAGCTCTTTAAACCCGATGGGGAGGAAATAAACCGGAGGATGTTGTACCTCACACTCACTGGACATGTCCGTAACACCAATGATGATAATAGTAATAACAATGGCCGCAGCAGAAGCTAACAGTTAGCAGCCTCACTCACAACTTCCTCTTTGGAGCTGACAGCCCCACCACTCACTCACTCACTCACACACACACACACACACACACACACACACACACACACACACACACACACACACAGGTACATCTCCTCCATGGTTTCCTCCTGGCCTCCTTCACAGAAAACACACTCACCCAAACGATAAGGCTCTCGACCAGCACCGTTTTCACGTCGTCCATTTGTTCCATCGGAGCTAAAACAACTTCGCCCCACCTGTCAGCAAACCGCTTCCGCTCCTCTCTCCTGCATTTGACCTCACCTGCTGTCAGGAGGGAGCTCTGCAGCGTCAACAGCGTACAGACGAGGGGCGCCACGCACGTTCCGCCGTAGAAGCAACGCAGCGTGTACGCGAATGGCGCAGCTTCTTACGTCTCTGACGGTGGGGTTCGATGGGGCGGGGGACACGCGTCTGATCCAATTAGGATCGAGAGCGGTGATGATTGACGGTTGTTAAACCCGACTGTAGCCAATCAGTGAGAGCGGGCGTCTTTTTATATTTTATAAACTGTGTGGACCAAATCAAAACATGTAATTATCATATGTTTTTTAATCAAATGTGATTATAAAATGTTTTTCCCTCTTTACTGATGAAGTTGTAGTAAAAATGTGTATTTGACTATAGAATACTCGAGTACAGTTAAAGAAAAACTTATGTGGGTAACACAGATTCATCTCTGGTCTGGACTTAAACATAAAAAAAAGAAAAAAGAACATACTATAACTATGAACAATTACAGAAGTGGTATTTCTGAAAGTATCATAACACAACATAACATTATGCCTAAAACATTAAAAGTAGAAAGAAATATTTATTTTCGTCCTAC